ATTTGTCTGTTGGTGTGACCTCAAACATATTCCATTGACGACCTCATTGCTGCCAGCTATACTGGACTATATCCTAACACTAAAAAGTTTGGGGCTATTGCTGAGCTCCATTAGAGTCCATCTGGCAGCCATCATTGCTTTTCATTCTCAAATAGAGGGTTATTCCGTTTTTGCCCACCCAACAACAGTGAAGTCCCTCAGGGGGTTCAGAAATCTCTTTTCACCAGTGAAGCATCCTGCTCCGATTTGGGACCTCAGTCTGGTTCTTAAATGCCTTACAAGACCACCATTTGAACCGATGGCTACCTGTTCACTCCTCCATTTATCAATGAAAACTGCATTCCTGACAGCCATCATGTCGGCAAGCCCCCCCTTTTACAGTATTTTTAAAGGACAAGGTCACGTTGTGATCATGCCCCACATTTTTATCTAAAATCTCTGAGTTCCATATTAACCAACCCATTCACCTGCCAGTCTTCCTCCCTAAACCTCACCTAGATAAACAAGAGATACTGTTGCACACCCTTAATGTCAAGAGAGCCCTAGCCTTCTGTCTGGTTAGGACTAAACCCTTCAGAAAGATTCCCTAATTGTTTCTCTTCATTCACTGTTCTCCACTTCAGCAATAGTTGAATGGCCTTGAGAGCTTCACTTTCAATCTGGCAAACTCCTGCCAGAAGGGCCTGTTTGTTGGATGTGACCTTGGAATATTAACACAAAGCCAATTAAAATAGCATTCAACCTTCTACTCCATATGTACTAAGTTTACAGTAACCAGCAGATCCTTCTAAGAGAGATCCTGGGCCACAGGTGAACTTTTTGCAAACATAATGGTTCTTCCCTATTGTGTGTGTCTATCCGAGGAACCCCCTCAGTCAAGTCTTTTAAAATTGTAGCTGACAATAAGAACTAAAGAAAAATTGACCTCTGCAACACACTTATTCTGTACCTTCAGGCATTCCTTTTTATAAATCACAAACAGGCAGTTTCTTCCCATACAGAGCTGGAGGCACTTCAGCTAGAGGAGAAAGCCTGGTGATCAGCTCTCATACCATGATCCTATCACCGGGCTTTGAGAGAATGTCTGGAGATTCAAATTCAGTGATACCGCATCACCTTTGCTCCAAGGATAAGATGGTGTCACTAATGGCTACTTGACCGTTTCCATTATCCCAAATCACAACAACCACAGTTTTGCTTGAGAATGAAATAAATTGGATCAATGTTCAATTCAGTTGTTAACCAACCAACCAGTTGTAAACCAACCCCATTGTCTAGGCTCGCTCCTGACAATAGTAAAGGCTAAATTCTTACATGCTGGTTTGTTTTTCATGTGTTTTTGTTCCAGCCCAAATAGTTCTCCCTGTCAGTAGAAGGTTGGTTGTTTGCACTGCATTAATGCCTAGAGGTGGCAACCAAGATCAGGCTCCCTCTGTACAAGGTGCTGTATATACATAGTACGAAACTGTCCCTGTTTCATGGTACTTACAGTGTAAATAGACAAAGGGTGGTGGAAGGACTGTATATCCCCATTTTCCAGATGGGGAATGAGGCCCAGAAAGATCAAGTGATTTGTCCAGGGTTTTAAAGGTAGTGTGTGATACAGCCAAGAACTGAACTCTGATCTCCAGAGTGCCAAGCCAGTGCTTTAACCACAATACCATCCTTTATCTCAAGTAGTCTCATCTGTTAATTTACTCAGTGGGAGTCTGGAAGCCGTTGCACCCTTTATAGAGAGACAGCGAACTCACCAAAGCCCTGGTGTTTCATGTCTGCTCTTCTTAGAAGGGACAGATATAGAACCTATTGTCTGATCTGACAGGACAGGACCCATAGGAACACTTGGCTTCACATACATACCTTTTTCTAAATATTTTACATTTTATTCCCTTCTGAAAATGGAATATCTTTAGTTTTCATTAATATTAAACTTAGCCCAGCATTTGATAAGCCTCTCTGAATTCTCTCTTCCAGTAAACTTAATGATGTTACTATAGACACATCCTAGCATGTCAGAACTTTAGATTTAAACTCTTCAGGTTTACAATCAATACTATAATAGCTATGGCTTGTGACTGCATTTTTGTTAATGGGACTCCAATGGTGGTGATACTGTAGCAGCAAAGTCGTGTTTAAAAAAAAATTGATGTTCCAAATGAGTTTGTTGCTTGTATACCTATGAAAAGCCTTCTAGGAAATAAATGAGAATTAAAATCCAATCTATTGATTCAAATCAACTAGACTGACTTTGTAACTGGTTTGATTAAAGATCCTTTAGCTAGTCAGGAATCTTAAAAAACGGTAGTAAATAGCTCGTTGTAACAGCAGGAAGATTTTTGGTAACTGTTATTTTTTGTTCAAATGTTTTATTTAGCAGCAAGTTGGGTATATAATAACTAAAATTTTCTATAAATTACTGTGAAGCTGCAGGTATTAAGTAACTCAGATATATCAAGTATAATTTAAAGCTTTTATTTTACAAAGCCGCATAGCTTGTGAATCTTTATAGGCATATAAAATACTCTTGTAAGTAATGTGTTGAACTTACGGTACTTACACAAGAAAAACCATGTTGTTCTGGTCAACTGAACATTAGAGTTCCCTACTGTCCAAGAGTTTATTATAGAATTCAGCCATTTCGACAGTGTCGCCTACGGGTCATTCCCTAGTGTAATGGATGTGGTGTTCCTTTACTTTTGTCTGAATTTTTTTGTGCCTTAGAAAAGTAGAAAGCTAACTGTAAGTAAAGCAATGGGAAGAATGAGTAGGTTGTTCTTCTGCTGTCAAGATGGGAAACATTGGCTTATCTATGGCATATAATTTGATGCTTTTACTATGCATGCTGGGTAACATTGAGCAGAGCATGAAATGAAAGCAGAACAGCTAGGACTTCATCAGACAGGACAGGGTAGAGTATAATATTTTATTTGCCCTGATGACCATTTAAGCTACTTCACACACAGTATGCAATTTGACAGTTAACTAATTCAGTCAGTGTCCCTAAGAAATCTATATGCTTGATTGAACAAAAAATTATTAGAAAGACCTCCTCTGGTGAAAGGCACATTATTCAGTAATCTTCATGTTTTGTATAAAGTATCCCTAAAAAGAAAACTGACATATAAAATACTGTAACTTCTAGAAATGTCTGCTGTTGGACTTGAGGCATTAGATAGAAACCTACTGCTGTCTGAATCTTGGAGTGGAAATTAACATAAAAATAAATTCAAGAGCATTATTTTCTTTTGGAGCGTTATGGAAGCTGTGTTAGTTAATCTTGGTGGTCTGTTCTCTTGGCTTATCTAGGTAATATATTAGCATTACCTCTAGAAAACTAATTGAACCAACTGACTCTAGAAAGGTTTGGTTTCATCTTGATGACTATTCTTAAACAAAAAGGGTCAGTTGATTCCCCAAGACATCATTAATTTTGTTGCTCTTAAGCTGACGGAAGGAAGTGATGATGATCTCTAAAGGGTTCGGTGATAGTTTAAAAAGATAAAATGTTAAATGCAACCTTAGAGTGTCTTTCTGCAGTTAGTGCACACAACTTCAAGTGTGGCAGTGTTGCCTAGTGGGTTGAGCAGTCTGGATTCCAGTGGTAGAGTTGACAATAACTTGCTGTGTGACTTTTGACAAATCACTTACCTTATCATCAGTTAACCCATCTATAAATTGGTATATTTGTATAGTGCTTTGAAATCCTTGTACTACATAAAAGTAATATGCTGTTAATAGTTTTAGTATCTGGTCTCAGATGTAGCAGGAGCTTACCTGCTTCAAAATTTTGAGTTTCTGCTAATGCATGAGTCCCAGGATTGGAGTAAAATGAGCTTAATATGATTGTATAGAGCACTTTGCAGAAGCTATAGCTGAAATCCCCAGATTTCTCACTGTGGTGGCACTGATGTGCTGAGGCTGATAGTACTCAGTGGCTTTAGTGGTCATATAGAAATTCTTCTTAGGAGTTCATGGCCACTATGACAATCATGGAGTTGTCCCACGTGGCTTCTGGCTTCATGTATAGCAATCCTACTGTCTGAACTAGTGTCTGGAATGGGATTGTAATTTATGGATGTAATGATCGCACCTTACATGTCATGGTCCAATAATTATATCTTGCAGTTTGAGATTCGGGCACTCCTTTTTTTGTCAGAGAAAAGAGACTATTTTCGTGGTCTGTTCAAGTAGACTGAGGAAGATGCATTTTGGCATCTTGTACTCCTGTCAGCGAGAGAGAGAAAGACAAAGAATCGTGTGAATACGCCTATAGGTGTTTGTATTTATTTATGGGTTTTAAAAGATAAAAGTTGCAAATACAAAAGAGGCTGCAGTTTATTTAAGTAGGCAAGAAAAACAGCAATCATTAATGTGTATATTGTATGGAAATAGTTAATTGAAACATGCTTTGCAAGATGATCACTAAGGGGAGATTCTGTACTGTAGTAGGGTAGTTTACAGTTGTAGGAACTGATCTGAAGGGTTGGGTGTCAGGAAAATAAGACCCAGCTATTCCTAAGTAAGGATTTGTCTCTACAACTGGGTTATCATGACTTTGGTCAAAGTATTGCAGGTATTTTGTAATAGGGTTTTACCTGCTATAGAAAGACTTTTTTCCGCATGTTCCATCTTGTACAGAAGTACTGAAAAAAGCACGTGAAGTTTGTATCAGGCCATTAGTTACCATATACTATTTCAATTTGAAGTCAATGGGGAAAACTCTTATTTAACTTTTATCAGAGCACAATCAAGTCCCATGAGCTAAGACAAAGAAACTGAAAACTTTTATATGATTTGCTGTGAAAATAGGTCTTAAATGACTAACATTACAGAATTGAAGCTTGCCACTACATACATAGCCACAAACAGACGAATAACTATGCATTGATGAATATAAACTTGCTTGTATTAGCTGCACAGCATTCCCCATCCCTGTATGCACATGAGTGGTGAATGTCATATTGTTTACTTTTACTTACATATGTTCCTTAATATCACAGGAAGAATCCACTTCATTTTCAGCAGTTCAGTCACCCTGGTGACTGCGATTATCATGACGTGGAGGTTGTAAGTCAAGATGACGATGACAGGCCTGAATGTCCATATGGAACTACTTGTTATAGGTAAGAAACATAATCCAATACAGTTGTCTGTCTATATTTGTAAAGCAAGACATCTTTTGACTGGGAGCTATGCAAGCAAAGTAATGATACAGCAATGAGTAATTCTTGAAATTAAATCTTGGGTATAGCTTACTGTTGTGGCATTTTTTTTTTGACAGGGTTATGTTTTATTGCCATCTGAAGCTTGCCTTGAACAATCATATTGTATTTTTGTCGCTAATATTATTTGTTGCAAAGGTACCTCTGATAGTGACCTGATCTAACAGGCATGTCAAAAAAGATAAACATTACATGCACAATGGGAATGTCAGTGAATAAGTTTCCAAAGTTATGGAGGTTGAAGATCTATCTACCCTTTATATCTTTTATTTGAAAGAGAGAATGATTTACTCATTCACTACAGCTTATCTGACAAGTACTTTTTTTTTGTATGCCATGTTGTTGCAGCCATGTTGGTCCCAGGATATTAGAAAAGATGGGTGAGGTAACATATTTTATTAGCTCAAGTTCTTTTGGTGAGAGAGACACAAGCTTTCAAGTTTACAGAACTCTTCTTCAAGTCTACAGAAAAAAGTACACATTCTTTCTGGGCTAGCATTTTTAGTGTCCTGACTTCTTATACCCACATCTTACATCTAATCAGTCACAACAAATATAAATATTTTAATATTCAACACTTTGATTTCTTAGAATAACATGCACAAAATTTAGTTCACTTTTAAAGTATATCTTGTTAAGTAATAAAGTCCCCCTCATGGTGTGAAAGTTCTGCATTTTCTTTTAATGTATATTTAGAATTTGGATAATTGATTGTTTGGAAAGATATCAGCAAGTTTCATTTCACTTCTCAATATACACATTTAGAGATTGATCCAGCTAAAATTAATGGCTGCTAGATTTACTGGGCAAAGTCATGCCTTGAAAAGTTGTCAGAATTTCTGTTGGGATGTATTGATGCATGAACAACTTCCTTTAACATTACTGACCTCTGTACACACAAGTCTAAAAAAAAATTCCCCATAGTTTGGCTGGAAACTGGTGACTCTAAAGATGTTCTTAAAATGCAGTTCTCATTTGAAAAATGACAGAACCAACACAGCTTTGAGAGAGTGTTGGATGCTGTTTTGGTTTGTACATCAATGTAATTTTTATAGTTGCTTTTCAGATCAGAAATGTTTTGGATGAAAAATCTATGGTATACCCATGTGATATAACTTCCCAGTGCACCTTTGTCAGGAGCAGAATGAATACCTAATGTTGAAGAATAATGTAGAGACAATATTTTGTGCTGTGAAACAATCATTCCTTAATCTGTGTTTTGTTTTTGTTTGCTTATAAAGTGATAACCTGATTGAAGGATACAACTTGGAAAGATCTGGGGGGAAAGGGCTAACTCAAGGGTGGGCAAACTTTTTGGCCTGAGGGCCACATCTGGGTGGGAAAATTGTATGCAGGGCCATGAATGTAGGGCTGGGACAGGGGGTGGGGTGCGGGAGGGAGAGCAGGGTGTGGGAGGGGGTGCGGTGTGCAGGAAGGGGCTCAGGACAAGGGGTTGGGGTGCAGGAGAGGGGCGGCAGGGGGTTGAAGTGCAGGAGGGGTGCAGCAGGGGGCTCAGGGCAGGGGGTTTGGGTGCAGAAGGGGTGCGGCAGGAGGCTCAAGGCAGGGGGTTAGGGGGCTCAGGGCAGGGGGTTGGGGTGCGGGGTGCAGGAGGGGTTCGAGGGTGCAGGCTCCAGCCCCAACACTGCTTACTTCGAGGGGCTCCGGGGTGGCAGCGGCGCACAGCGTGGCTAAAGCAGGCTCCCCCTTAGTGCCCCACGCCACTCCCAGAAGTGGCCAGCATGTCCAGCAGTAGCTCCTGGGGGTGGGGTGGGGCAGGTGGCTCTGCTGCGCACTGCTCTCACCTATGGGTACCACCCCTGAACCTCCCATTGGCCACGGTTCCCCATTCCTGGCCAATGGGAGCTGCAGGGGGCGGTGCCTGCAGGCGAGGGCAGCTCATGGAGCCCTCTGCCCCCTCCGCCCCCAGGGGCCACAAGGATGTGGTGCCGGCCGCTTCTGGGAGTGGCGTGGGGACAGGGCAGGCAGGAAGCACCATGGAACTGGCAATCCTGCGGGCCAGATTGAAAGCCCCGACAGGCCAGATCCAGCCCGCGAGCCGTCGTTTGCCCTTCCCTGGGCTAACTACTTTTTAAGAACCATTATCTGTCTGTAAATTGATATTTAGAATAAAAAGGACCTGGCTGATGTTTTGAATGCTTTGCTCTGATTAGGACAGGATTTTTGAAGCAGCCTGATGCTTCAGTATTTTATCACTATACTCAGCAGATGATTTTTCTTAAACCTTTGAGCTCCAGCTCAGATTGTGTTCTCCTGTTGGGTTTGAAACCAGAACTAATTAGAATATCAATCCCCCAATCAAAGGGAAATGTCACCTGAAATGAAAGAAGAAATGTAACCTAGACCAGTGCTTCTCAAAGCCGGTCCATCGCTTGTGCAGGGAAAGCACCTGGCGGTCCGGGCTGGTTCGTTTACCTGCTGCGTCCGCAGGTTCAGCCAATTGTGGCTCCCACTGGCCGTAGTTTGCCGTTCCACGCCAATGGGGGCTGCGGGAAGCGGCGCGGGCCGAGGGACGTGCTGGCCGCCCTTCCTGCAGCCCCATTGGCATGGAACAGCGAACCACGGCCAGTGGGAGCCGTGATCGGCCGAACCTGCAGACGCAGCAGGTAAACAAACCAGCCCGGATCGCCAGGGGCTTTCCCTGCACAAGCGGCAGCCCGACTTTGAGAAGCATTGACCTAGACATTTGAATTGGATTAAAAGAATAAGCAAGAAAAGATATTTTTTAAATCCATTACCCAAAACAATATTTACGATTATAATAAAAATGGTAGTTTAACATGAGACTAAAACATTTGCTTATGTTTACCTTGTAACTGAGGCTTTTCATAAAAAAGCTCTTTCTATATTGAACTGAAAAACCACTACCACTGAAGTTTCCTTTGTAAATTAGTGATCTATTACTCTTGCACTTAGTGTCTGTTCTGTTAAGCTTTGGTCACATGATGAACCACAAGCCAATGTAACAAGGGATCCAACTCCTAAAGTCCTCTCTTTATTAGGAGTTGTTTGGATGGAATTTTATAACAATAGAAGGAAACTGAAAGGACAGCTCTTACTTGTAATTTCCAATGCTGTTGCCGAAGTACATTTTCTTCTAGCCCTATCCCCAAAACAAGTCTATTTTCTTTACCCTGGTGTTGGGGTTCCTAGAGGCGATCTTCAAATGCAGAAGTTGCCTCTGTTTTCCACTCTTCTTCCCTCAGTGGCCTCCTCTGGTTGTCAAGGTCTACAATACAATTAGCTTTTCCTAAAGTTCAAAATAAGCAGTTGCAATGATGGGGAGGTTAGCTGGTGACTGAGGCCAGGTCTACACTACAGACCTATAGCAGTATAACTACGTTGCCCAAGGATGTGAAAAATCCACACCCCGTGGTAACGTAGTTATACTGACCTAACCCACTGCATAGACAGTGCTGTGTCAACATAGCTACCCCCTCTTGGGAAAGTGGATTAACTACGCCGACAGGAGAAGCTCTCCCGTCTGCGTAGGTGTGTCTTCACTTAAACGCTACAGTGTCTGTACTAAGCCCTCAGGAATTAAGTGTGTTAACTCTGCTGCAGCTCAGGACATGCATTTCCCACTCCACTATCTTTGTGTGGAACTCCACTGTCTGGCCAGCCCAAGAGTAATAGTTATCCATCTAAACCAGTGAGTCTCAACCTGTGGGCTGCTTGCGGCCCAATAAGCGCAAGCTGCAGCTCATGTGACCTCCTCAGGGCTGTAACTAGAGCTGGGTGGGAGGGACACCTGCCTCGGGTGCAGAGCTGCTCGTGGGGGTGTAAAATAGTGCGGCGCAGGATCAGGCCCAGCAGCAACAGCAGGAGGCTAGGGAGCTCAGTGCCCCCTCCCACTCCCCTGCAGGATTGTGGGTCCAGTGACCCCGGCTGGAGTTAACTTCCCGGTACTAGGATCACTGGGGCAGGGTGGGCTGCATGGCTGAGCTATGTGCAGCCAAGGTAGGAGACCAGTGGGGAAGAGGTGCAGGGAGTGGGTGCAGGGGGCCAGGACCACAGGGAGGGGGGTTCAGCTGGTGCATGGGGGGACAGACTCTAGGTGGGGGGACTGGTGGCTGGGGGCAGTCCCTGGATGGGGGGCTAGATACTGGGGCATAGTCCCTGGATGGGGGGGTTGAGTTCTGGGGGAGACTCCTCGGGGGGGGAGGAGTTGCTGGGTGCTGCTGGGGGCAGTTCCTAGGTGGGGGCTACGTGCATAGGGGACAGTTCCTAGGTGGGGGCTGTGTGCATGGGGGACAGTTCCTAGGTGGGGGCTGTGTGCATGGAGGGCAGTCCCTCAGGGGGCCGTTCTGCCCTGGACAGGGCACCCTGTCTCTGCAGGGCAGGCACGAGTGTTAGCCCAGTGTTGGGGGTTTGGGGATGCTGGGGGTACAGTCCCAGGGGTTTTGGATGATGCGGGGGGGCATTTCCTGGCTTGGAGAGGCAGTCATTTGGTGGAGGAGCTGGGTGCGTGGGGGGCAGTCCCTGGCTGGGGGTCGGGTGCATGGGGGGCAGTCCCTGGCTGGGGGGCAGGGCTCCCCATCTTTGCAGGCAGGCTCAGCAGCCGTACTCTCCAGGTGCTCAGCCCAGCTGCATCGCCAGCAGCAGTGCGGAAGTGAGGGTGGCAATACACCATGTCATGCCTCCCTTACAGTAAATTAATTTTAACAGTTAATATTTTGACTTATTTTGCTAATTTAAAATGCTCTTGGCAGACATTTGCCAGTGTTGAAATGAAAGGTGCTGTATCGATTTGAATTGTATTGCTGTCATGTAACAAATACGAAACTTTTTTTTTGTAGATGTACAGGTAGTGTATATATTGTGTGGATGAGGCCCAAATAGAGAGCTGCATATGTGGCCCGCAATAGTAAATAGTTTCAGAA